ACTCATATCACATCCATGCAAAAATCCCGCTGGGTTCCCCTGGATCGGGGGGATGTGATCTGTACCATCGGAGGCTGTGGACCTTCCGATCGTCCTTCAGCAGGATCCATGATCCAGTCTCGACAAGCGGACGTGTGCGCCGGCGAGATTATCGGTTGAGAATAGCCGAGATAGACATACTACAGCGTATGTAATTCTTCCCCTCCCTTTAGTCTCATGTGTCTGTTAAAGGTCTATCGTCTGTCTCTCTTTTTTACTTTTCATGCACGCGGGTGTGTTTGTGCAGGGCGCATTCTTTTCCATGAAACACGAAACGAGAAAGAAGAATATGGTTCTTCAAAATTTGGCCATGTTACCGCCTTAACGGTCACAACACTTTCCGCCTCGTCAACCTATGTATATCCAAATCTCTCTTTTGCCTCATTTTCCTTATGTTACAAAGAAAGGAGTGCCCCATTCTATTTTCTGCCTCTCAATAAATCAAATTTCCGAAAATAAGTCCTGTTCGTGCCCAAAGGCTGAAAAACAACTTGCTACCACAGACTTAGAGGCTGCTGGTTAATGAACCTGGTGAAATACAACGGAAATGCGAACTCCCCTTTTCATCTCCTGCTACCTCCTGCAGTATGGCTAACACACGACGGCATCTTCCATTCTCCATCCCCAGCGGGGGAGAGAGGACGCCCTCTTCTCAGTTTAGCTCAGGCCACAAGGAGACTCTCTTTCATGGTGAAGTTGGGACAATATCCTCCCCTGTACAATCAATTTTGTTAAAAACGAGCAACAAGGGAACTGGCAAAGAAAAAGGAAGGAAAAAGAAGAAAGAGAAAGAAAGAGAAACATTTCCCGTATTAAATGTGAAATTGGAGTTGGTCAATTTGGGAATCGGAGCTAAAAAGGCAAGGCAGAATTGAAAATAACGCTTCAACATCTCCAACGTCCAACCACCTCTATAAAACATACGGTTAACTCATAATATGTGCAAAGGCATAATCCCCCCGGCCCTCTCCTCCTCCCAACATGCAAAACCAAACGGGGCTAACTCTATCACAGTTGGTATTTCCGTGCATCCGCTGGAACCATTTAATCCCGAATATGATTCTAAGGAGCCAGCGGGTTGCGATTCCAAAATCTCGGCTGTGAAACATATTCACACTGTCGTTTACCTTGCGAGAATACCAAATTCGAAACATATGCAATATGTCTTTTCTTACCAGGGGAGTGTGGGGATTGACCAGAGAATATCAGAAGAGATACGTGGATGGCGTGGATAGCTTCCACTCAGAAGTGGACGCTCTACTCTCTACTCTCTCCTTATGGAAAACACAAAACTCGGTTGATGCTTCGACTCAGCCATCTCTTGGTTTGGCTGGTGCGATTTCTTCATACAGATCTTATATTTTTGTCTCTACTTTTTAGCAATGGCACTGTGGGTTTCCTGCCTCACGGGGGATAACGAATATATATATTGATATACAGATATGTACTATGTATATATCCATCTCATTGTAAAGCCAAATTCAAATGACGTGCTGTACAAAGAGGGTCCAATTTATTTCACTCTGATTTTCTATTTCCTTTACGCCTGCGCTGGTGATATTTTCTGCGTTTTCGCGTTATAATTTCATGTCACTTCTATTATCACATACCCCTTAACTAGTGCTCAAGAAGAAGTTATATCATCTCTGATTTCTTGAAAATGAAGAACAGTACATACTATTTATCAATAAGCCAAGTCTTTCAATGCAAATGCACCCATCCATCTTGTCTCTCAGTTTTGTCCTCTCATCATCAGGTAGACAGCGCAGATGCTTGCTTCCCTGGGATCACATATCTTCAAAGCACCCGTAAAAATTTGTTTCTGTATTTAATCACCCACCCCCATTCTATACAGAAAATAGAATAATCAAGCGAAAGGAAGATAAAAATAAATAAATATGAAAGAAGTGGCTGCAGAAATTCATCTCCCCCTCAGTACATCCGCAGTACAACCGCTCCCCGCAGCAGGCAGTCAACATTAGTTAGACAATCGGTCATATAGAGTTGGTTTCTCCGCTCTGTTATCCAGTCCCGCTACTGCAACGTCTCCAACATACAAAGCACCCTGAAGAGACAGTGTCCGACCGGTATATTTGTTTCGGATTCTATCCATCTTTTTTCTCTTGCTCACGGGCCTCGGGGAAAACGGGCGCAACTGATCGCATACAAGGTGAGGCGAAGTGAAGAGATATAATTGCAAACGCAAACCATGCCCGGAGCGACTATCACATAGGGAAGGGAGAGAAGGGGAAAGACAATTTGAGATTGTGATGAGGGTTGAGAGGGAGGCTTTGTGAGACACTGACGCCTCATCGGTAGGTCCTATGGACAATCCATCGACATGGATGAGAAAATATCATCCCGAGCTAGGTCTTCAGACCGTCTCTCTCTTGAATATTATTCAAACGGCAGAGCCATAGTTAGTTAGAGATACAGAATGAACAATCGTTGCCTTAGAAAAAGGGGCGTTGGGACGATGATAATCATTGCGTAGCCCTCGACTAAATTATTATCTGCTTCGTCTCGTTCTTGCAAATGACTCCCGAAACGTACCAGAGAGAGAAACCGATCATCTCACGAATCAGCCATATCCAGGATTTCCTTTCTGCTCGAGGTGAGAGAGATTTGCCATCGGTGGCAGGTAGTTAGCTTTTGGAGTTCCGTGTATCCAGCGGGGTCCCGCTGTGGCGTTTAAATATCTGTCACATCATTTTGACTCGGTAAGGAGGGGAAGCATGAGGAAAGATAAAATATTTTATAGAGAGAGCCAATCCACGCTTCAGAAAGATAAAGAGGTGTGCAATTACGATTATCTTATTACCCGAATTGAACCTCATCTAACTCTATTATTTCTTTAGACTATTCGGCAAGCAGAATGACA